AAAATCAGGACTTTTTTAAAAGGCGAAGGGACGCGGGAAAAATTGTTATAAAGCGTGCTTATCACGCTGAAATCAGTACGTCTGGTCACCCTAAGGATAGAGTCACTATAAAACCAAGTATATGAATCATGTGTGTTCGATTTGAAGTAGAAAAAAATAATAAATGGCAAGCGATCATACCATGGAGTGTATCCAATGTAGATCCTGATAGAAAACCGTGGCACAAAAAATGGGTGACAGACCACCTTTCATGGCTAGTTTAGTACAGGAAATCCCCATTTAAGGAACTAATAGGCCAATGGAGTATATTATAGGCTTCCATATAAAAAGAGAAAGCTTGCCAAAGCTATGAATAACAATAATAAAAAGCTTCAGTCATAAAGCAGAGGTTCTTGATAGATTAAAGATCAAAAACAAAACAGTGAGCTACTGAAGAAAGAGAAGAAATCTCCATAAATTGTTACTTAAACCTTAATCTGTCTTCTTGATTCTCAGTATATTATTTCTCATCTGTGGAGATTTTAAATATTTATTAGATAGAGACAAAAGATAGAGGCCATAAATCTAACTGAAGGAAAAACATTCTAGGTTCAACAGATCGCCATAAATAATTGAATCTATTCAATAGCATAAACTTGTTTTAATGAATGCTTCTGACAAAATGTATTTATGTACACATTTTTCCTTATTCACATCTTCAGATCTAGATACAGTTGGTTTTGTAGCTCCATAGATGCAGCAAATTAGTGAAACCACAATGACATTTATGTTACTCTTAAAATTTATTCAAGTTGTGTCTACATGTCCTAATCCACCAGATCTTGAATCAGATTTTCCATTGTTGTCTTCAAATTCCTTGCAGCAAATGTTGTCCCGAAACATTTCTTTCCTATTCTTTTCTCCACTATATATATTTGCTTGCTGTTAAAATCATATAAACATTCCAACTTTCTATTCTTTGGAATTTCTGCACAAATTTCTATATTTACAGTGACACTTAAAACATTAATGTTCAATTTAACCATTCTGTGGGCCTAAAGTGCTTCAATACAAACTAGGTTTATAATAAAAACATAAAAAGTAATATAAAAGCATAAATAAAACAAAGAGAAAACAAAATTAAGAACAAAATTAAAATTATTGAAAGAATCAACTTTTAATTATGTTCAGATGAATGTGCTTACAAGTTCAGATAAGCAGA